TCCCAAACATGTCGTCCAATCATCTAAAGAGAAACGTCTTATGGTTTCCGCTGAGAAACGCAAAGAATCCAATCGTCGGCTTCACTCTAAACCGGGAACTATTGGTTTTGTATCCGAAAGAACTAAAGCTATTGTCTCCGAAGAAAAATAATATCACAATATATGTGTTCCACAATATATGTGATTATTATTATAATCACTGTATTTATTGAATATAACTATACTTTAATGAAATCTTTTCATTAATTATAAAATTTTTATGAAATAAAATTTCTTTGAAAAGTTTGTTGTTTGAAAAATTGCTTTTAATTTACTTTTGGTTTTAAACATATGTAAATGAATTAATGTGTTTAAAATACAGTAAATACTTGAATAAGTAATTATAAAGTAACGTTATGTATCCTCAATACTGATCTCAAGATTACGGCACACATTACCCCGTAAAACACTTAATATCATTTATAAATCGCTTGTTTTGCCGCAAATTGATTACTGTTTATGTGTTTATGGTTTTACATACAAAACACATTTTGATCGCCTCGAGAGACTCCAGAGACGGGCCGCTCATGTGATCACATTCTCTAACGAAAGTGTGGATCAATTGTATAAAAGTCTTCATTGGATACCAATTATTCAAAGAAGAGACTATTTTTCATCAATTTTTATTTACAAATGTTTGCATCAATTGAATGCTAATCGATGTCATAATCTCTTCAGCTATACTCCCGGCGCCCGAAGGACTAGATCTGCCACTAATCGTGAACTAATGCTCCCGAAAAGCAATCTACAAAGTTTTAGAAATACTATATTGTATAGTGGAGTAACTATTTATAATTCAATAAGTCTTAATCTTAGAAATAATAATAATTATAATAATTTTATTTTAAATCTTAAAAAGTTGTTTTTTATATTTTAACTGTTTTTTATTTAAGTATGTAATGTATTTTTGAGACGTCTGCACTGAAAATCAACCTAGTTGAGTGCACGGCGTCTGTAAACAACAATAAATTCAAATTCAAATACTCTAATAATAAGATATTAGTATAGGATGTGTGAAAAATAAATTTTTCTTAACATTTTATATTTAGTTTTATTACTAAACTTTCCGTTTGTTTTAATTCTATCTCAAATATTTCTGTTTTTATTTTAAAATTCACTCAATTTTACAAAATAGTTAAAATATATACTATTAACCGTTAAAATAGTTGCTATAATTAAATGCAATTCCCTGGTTATAATAATTTGTATAAATATTAAGACCATATTTTTATACAATATACAACTTTTATAATACATTTTTGTATAAATTTACTTTTATTAACAATATAATTATATATTCACTCAAAAATATAATGGATTTGATGTTATTTTTCATACACTTGTTATAAACTTCACTATAATAAATATTTTAACTGTTTTTTATTTAAGTATTTAATGTATTTTTTGGGACGTCTGCACTGAAAATCAACCTAGTTGAGTGCACGGCGTCTGTAAACAACAATAAATTCAAATTCAAATTCAAATTCAAATAGGAGTGGGAAGAGGAGGAAGAGGGGGCCCTCGCAGTGGGCGGTAGACTATCAAATCTGAGTGTATTTAGACAATAGAGTATTTCACAATTAGAAGATTCTACCAATTATTTTACATTTAATAATTATATTAAAAGTTTAAACAATTAAATTGTTTTTCATGTCATTGTATGCTTTGGTTTGAAAATGTTTTCACAAACATTACATTAATTATTGGCATTTTCGGTACCAGAGTATCGGTTCCGAAGCGTATGGTTGTCCTGAAGACTGAGCGTTCGATTGTGTTGTTTCTTAAGTTTGGTGGCCGTGACGGACGACTTGTCCGCACCCGCCGTCCCGAACCAATGGCCCGAAGACGTCTTGTTGGCCCACATTATGCAGAATGTGATACACACTATACTGACCACAAGCTGTCAAATAAAGTGAATCGACAATCAGTTAAACTATCAAATGTTAAATGAATGCCATTTTTGGCACAAATATGTAATTAAGGTAAGACTCACTTGAATGAAAAGCCATCCAATGATATTCTGGATCTGCGTTTGTGCGAACAGATTGAGCCCAAACTTAATACAAATGAGCGCTTCGGTCAGCATAATGGCACCGAATACCCAACACTGTGTGCCCACGCGTTTACATCGGGTGTCCGTTACGTACGTGTAGTACTGGCGCACCGATGGCGCCACTATTAGACCTACGAGTCCTATACGACCCACACATAAGGGATGGTCGGGCGGGATATCAAATATATGTTTGAGAAAAAATGTATTCAATTCAGTCAACTGCCAGAATATGACCAGTTGTGTGACCGCCAAGAATCGGACATAAGTGCGGGACGGGTCGAACCAATGCACATGAGTCCACTCGACGGGCGTGAACTGTAGCAGTGCTCGTCTTATCTTCAATGATGTCGACTGAATATCCCTTTCATTAAATTAACAAATATTCAAATATATTGACAACAATTGCAAACAATAGCAAATGAATAGAGGAGTGGAAAGACATACTTAATGCTCTCCCATTTATAAGTCCTCATTTCCAGCTTATGGCAGATCCACATTCCAACAGTTATTCCCAATCCTATTCACGATAAATATTCAGTTAATTATAATCAAATGGGAGGTATGGGAGCGCAGAGACGGACCATTGCATACGATGACGTCGAGCACAATTGAGTCCCACCAGCACTCGGCGAAGTTAGGCAAGAGGTGCGCGAACGCCATTTCGGTGATCTCCCACGTGAACGATATGGTCCAACAGATGCCATAGTGTCGGACGAGCACTGCTTTCATAGTCCAGCCCAAGAAGTGGCCCAAAGCGAAAGCATCCATCGTTTGCCAGACCCTCTCCACAGAGATGTCCGAACAGTTCACCGCATATTGCTATCAATAAAACCATTCAAACAATCATTAAAATATCAATATTTTTCAGTACTTATCAAAACTCACTTTTTCTGAATCAATTGAAAAGGACTTTAAGTCGGGATAAAACCAATACATAATTGCTTTGACTGTCTTATAGTTCTGGAACAGTATATACAGCAATGACATCAAATACAAGACACTTAAGCCGAATATGAGTCGCCAAATGGCCGGATGGGGTCGAGTGAAGGGCCCGTTAGGAAAGGCCAGCATTGAAATGATTAGAAAGAAGAAGACGACGCATAGAAGTCCGGACCAAATGTTGTCCTCCACCTGACGGTCATCTCTGGTGAACGCCGTGTAAAAGACCAGAAATATGGATACCGTTAACAATGAGATGGTATGCGGTTTGTAGAAGAACTCCACACTTATGTCGTCCACCGGTCGCTCATTAATGGCATAGAAATGACTGTTTATGTTATAGAAGTCTCGCTGAGACGGCAGACGTGTCTTCGGCGCCGACGACTGGGCGCCCGAATCGGCGCTATTCTTGTCCAGTAATTGCTGTTTGTCTTCACTGTTATCTGTTATATCTTCAATGACTGCCATCTCTTGCGATATATACGATCACAATCTCTTCCTCTGGAGTAATGGTGAGTATTAATGACTGTTATCTTATCTGTAGATCTAATGATGTAATAAATTGGGATCAGATGTCGACAAACGTACTCAACAACTGGTATACCATTCATCGACTATCCTTTCATATCACGGGTCGACACGTGTCTAAGAGTTGATCCAAATGTCAAATATGTGTCATTCAATCGATTCAATCGTCGATTAAATCTAAATCTCAATTAAATTTCGTTTTTTAAATACTATTTATTTAAAGGGAAAACATTGCGTATAAATAGAGTACGTCTTCTGTGAATTGCCCACTAATGCTAGCATTCAATCAGTATTAACATTTGGTAAACGTAATTTTTAGTGAGTTTAATATAACTGTAATTTGGTTAGTTAAGTGACGAAAGTTGCTATAAATTAAACAATGTTAATATCAAATCAATTGGTGATTAATTAAGTATAATAAATAATTTAATTATAAATAATTTGTCGCAATGTTTGCGTTATTTATTTGAGCCCTTATTTCATATCATTAAATGTCATAACATATAAAGGGAAGAGAGGGTCACTAATATAGAGACAAATTGTGTTGGTTTACTATTAACCCCCACTCTGTAGGGGTTATTAAAATGTAGATTTTGTAACAGTGTTTGTGTATTGATTTGTTTAAAGTTTTTTAATAATTGTTTACAAAATGCATTGCATTTACATTTAAAACATGTTTTCAGCAAAACTTTTACCGCAAATAACTTTACGTTTAGTTAATTGTCACACAATTATCGGAATTGATTTGTTTAAAGTTTTTTAATAATTGTTTACAAAATGCATTGCATTTACATTTAAAACATGTTTTCAGCAAAACTTTTACCGCAAATAACTTTACGTTTAGTTAATTGTCACACAATTATCGGTCAAATAGTGGTTAAAAATAGACAATTTGTTGACACGAGAAGAGTGTTTATTATCAATCGATGTCTTCGGACGGGAGTTAACGGTAGAGATTGGAGGCCAACACCCGATGGCAAAGACGAAGAGGTGCTGACCATTGAAAGGTCGCCGCCGGTCCTCAACAAGCAATCGGTCAATAGTAACAACGTTTTGGATATAATGGCCATCACTGGCCGCGAAGTGGACGACAGGCATATCGATGCGTTGAGCGAAGACATTGATCCGGAAGTGTTGGACGAGTTGTCGCCGGCTTTGGTTCACAGTTTCAATTTGGCCGCATTTGCCGAGAAGTCAGCGACACTTCAAACGCTCGTTAAACTGGGCGTCAATTTGTCGCTAATTGAGCGCAAAAGTCCACAAACGGCTCAAAATGTGTTAAAACTGGACTTTGAGTCCGATATAAAGCCTTACGTGCAATGGTTGGTGGACTCGGGTGTCCCGCCCTCGCAATTGGGTCTATTGCTGACCAAAAACCCCCGTCTATTGAGTCAACACATCGATGACCTGAATGTGAGACTCAATTATTTGCGATCCAAGCGATTCACTCAACACATGATCGCAGAGATTATTATAAAAGCGCCCAAATTGTTGAATATTAGCACAAAAGGCATTGACCACAACCTCGGCTTCATTCAGAAGGAGTTCCACTTAACCGCCGATGAACTCAGAAATGTAGTCATGAGTGACGCGAGAATCGCTTTATTACATAACATGTCTTATCGGGTAAATGACATTCATTTGCAATGTTATACACTATTTAACCGTTCATTCAATTCATTTCTCTCACCAGAAGTTGACGTTTGCCTTCAAAGAAGAGTTTGGTTTTAATTCACACGAAATTAAACACATGTTAATGAGATTTGCGTCACTTTTCTACTCTATTGCCATCAATGAGAGAAGTATTCATTTCTATTTGAGAAAAGCGTTGAATTAACTGCAAATCATTTGTTTCTTAAATACCAGGGCATCGAAAGTGTGTCCAAATATTTGATTTAATACACAATGAAATGAAAATACCGCACGAATTGATCTATAAATTCCCGCAAATATTGGACCGGCATTACGGCATAATAGAGGAGCGGCACCTATACCTCAATACGTTAGGTCGGGCCCAATACGAGTCTAAATTACCACTTTATGTGCCGTTAAGTGCTTTCTGTGAATTGGATGACATCCAGTTCTGCGACAAAATCGCAAAAACTAATGTTCACGACTTCAATGCTTTTTGTAAAACACTGTAACCATTCAATTGTTAAAGCAATTAAAGCTAAATCCAAATGTCAATCAATCAAAACCAAATGAATTCATTCAATCGACTTATTTATTGTATCATTCAATCAAATGGTATACAATCGAAGAGTCGATTCAAATCTATGACCAAAAAACGACTCGTAATTTAAATACAAAATTCAATTGTTTATTAGACTTTCGACAAAACATATCAAATTTAAATCATATTCTTGAGGAGTTCGTTGATCTTATCCTCTCTGTTGCCGAAGTCGCCGCCCTCGACGTAATGGACCACTTTCTTACGCCATCCGCCTCTCGGGTTATTCAGTTTGAAATACCACAAGAAGTTGTTGGCGTACTTGAAGTTCGGGCCCACAGTTGCGATCTCGTGGATCAGGTCCTCCATACAGATGATGCCTCGTTTGCCCAAACGCTGTTCAATGATGTTGTTGTCGGTCAATGGCTTCCGCTGTCCGTTCTGTTTCCCGAAACCTCGCTTATAGATCAGGTCTCTCACGTTCTTCAGCGACGGATAGCCCCACGCGATGAAGGGTTCGGCGATTCTCAACATATTGATCGTCGCTTTGTTTAGTTTGACAAACACTCCGTTGTTTATCTGTCGGAGCCGTAAAAGTTGCAACACTTTGCGGGGCTTCGGACTCACGCCGTTCACACTGCGGGCCAACACAAACACACCAGAGATTATTACATTCAATATAATTAACAATAAATGCATTTAATAATAAGTGACATTAAACTAAACTTAACTAAACGTGTTTTAAAATAAAACAAATCTATAGACAGCTAAATGCGGTCGAGAAACGTAAAAACGTGGTATAAAATAGTAAAATAACTAGAAATTATAATCAAAGCGTCAAATGTATGGCAAATATCAGAAAATGTTGGTAAAGGATGTCTGCAATAGTCATTAAGACCCGAAAGATAAAGTCATCACATGTTTGCCATACATTTGACACACATTTTTGTGGACACAAAACAAGAGATAATTTTCTAATCAATTATTTTAAGAGATGATAAATACCCTCTAATTCTCATAACAAACGCGAGTTTGGGTTCTTCGGGAACGTAGAAGTTTCCGTGTTGTTTGGCCTGACGTTTAATACGGATCAGGTCTCGCGTCTTCGTGCGGTATTCCTTGACATAAGACTCGGCCTTTTTGAAGATCAACTGCTTCTTCGCGTGTCTGATCTGTTGGTCGCAAAACAAGTACACAATTAGACCAACAAATGGCAAAATAAAATCATTAAAATCAATGCCTTTCGGTCTTTGATGGCCTTCTGGAGAGCCTTAGCCTTTGATTGCGCCCTTTGTTTCCGTTTCTTGAGTATCGTTTCGGGAACTGTCGGCACTTTCGCGGCGGTCGTCGTCGGCGGCGCCGACTTAGTCTTCGGTGCGCTCTTACTGTCCATCAAAACCGATACAAAACAAACAAACAGTTAATTAAATGGCAATTAAAATTCAATGCAATCAAAGCACGTGTTTATTGTGCGGACATTAAAGACAACACTAAAACACTTTATAGACTATCAGTTCAATGATGGCTACAGTTATAGCAAACATCAAACTCTTAAACAGTAGTTGTAATCATAAATAGTGTTAAATTGCGATTAAATAGTCATTAAAAGTGATTACAATTAAAAATTAAAACTCAACACAACTTACGTGTTAGACATCGTTAACAGGAAAGGGATGTATTGGTCGGCCGTTGCCTCTACTCTACACTCTATGCCTCACATAAAGCACGACATTTGCATTCAATGCTCATTCATTTAAATGAAACTAAAACTTTAATTTAGTTGTTATATAATCATTAAAATTTAATTAAACAGATATTAACATTAATAAAACTAAATTTAAGTGTAATTATAAGAAAAGAGCGCTCTTTTAATGTGAATTCAATTAACAATATATTAAACATAGAAATAGTGTTGACGTTATTGAGAGACATGTGATATATTGTGATAACAAGTTATTTGTATACAAACAGTGCATTCAATTCATTGCAAAGTTTGCTGTGTTTTAAGCCATGAATTCATCGCAAAGTATTTGCCGATTGTGTCCAACACTGAGACCACACCTGACGGCCAGAACCACCCGATTATCACTGTATCGGTCGTCACCGCAAAGACACGAATTGATTTGTTTAAAGTTTTTTAATAATTGTTTACAAAATGCATTGCATTTACATTTAAAACATGTTTTCAGCAAAACTTTTACCGCAAATAACTTTACGTTTAGTTAATTGTCACACAATTATCGGCCAAATAGTGGTTAAAAATAGACCATTTGTTGACACGAGAAGAGTCTTTATTAATAATCGATGTCTTCGGACGGGAGTTAACGGTAGAGATTGGAGGCCAACACCCGATGGCAAAGACGAAGAGGTGATGACCATTGAAAGGTCGGCGCCGGTCCTCAACAAGCAATCGGTCAATAGTAACAACGTTTTGGATCTAATGGCCATCACTGGCCGCGAAGTGGACGACAGGGATATCGATGCGTTGAGCGAAGACATTGATCCGGAAGTGTTGGACGAGATGTCGCCGGCTTTGGGTCACAGTTTCAATTTGGCCGCATTTGCCGAGAAGTCAGCGACACTTCAAATGCTCGTTAAACTGGGCGTCAATTTGTCGCTAATTGAGCGCAAAAGTCCACAAACGGCTCAAAATATATTAAAACTGGACTTTGAGTCCGATATCAAGCCTTACGTGCAATGGTTGGTGGACTCGGGTGTCCCGCCCTCTCAATTGGGTCTATTGCTGACCAAAAACCCCCGTCTATTGAGTCAACACATCGATGACCTGAATGTGAGACTCAATTATTTGCGATCCAAACGATTCACTCAACACATGATCGCAGAGATTATTATAAAAGCGCCCAAATTGTTGAATATTAGCACAAAAGGCATTGACCACAACCTCGGCTTCATTCAGAAGGAGTTCCACTTAACCGCCGATGAAC